AGAGAAACAGCATGAGAGGGGAGAGGGTCAGAGGGAGAAGCAGGCTCCCCGCTGAGCCGGGAGCCCGATGTGGGTCTCCATCCCAGGACCCTGGGATCATGACCTGAGCCGAAGGCAGACGCTCAACCATCTGAGCCACCCAGGCGCCCCTAGACTGATATATTTTTTAAGACTTTTATTTACTTGACACAGAGAGAGAGAGAGAGAGCACAAGCAGGGGGAGCGGCAGCAGAGAGAGAGGGAGAAGCAGGCTTCCCGCAGAGCAGGGAGCCCGATGTGGGGCTCGATCCCAGGACCCTGGGATCATGACCTGAGCCGAAGGTGAGCCACCCAGGTGCCCCTAGTCTAATTTTTTTAAATCAGGCACTTAACAGTTTTTACTCTTTCCAGGTTTGGGATACATTTTTCTTCCACAATACTTCCCACCTGCCCTGCTTGGTCAGTGGTAGGCCTGGGTCAGCCCCCAGAATGATCCCTGGATTCTAATCACTGGGCCTTGATGTCCAAGTCCTTTCAGCCAGCTCTAGGCAGATTGTCACCCTGAGTGCAGTAGTTGTCTTCTCCCACTTCTGGGGAAGGCTTGGGAATTAGGGTTTCTGTAGCAAGTCTGTAGGGCACTTGGTTTGGGCCCCGGTTCTGCCACCCTCTGTGCTGATGCGGTACGTATATTGTCATGTTAGCCCTCCTAAGACTCAGACGTGGAGGGGTCACCACCCCCATTTCTCAGAGGAGAAGTGCCCAAGATCACATGACTAGAAAGCACACAGGTGGGGATTGAAATCAGGGAAAATTCCAAATCCTTTCTTTCCATGCTCTTCCCTGTCGCTTAACTACTGTAAGCCCTTGGCTTTCAGATGGAATTCAACCAGGTGAGTTCCAAACAGCCTTCTACCTCTAAAATTCTTGCAACCATTGATATATTTGAACTCTTATGAACTTCATTGCTAATCAAGAGGAATCCTATAATAATTATTAAATAATCAACATCATCTTGGTACTCTTAACTAGGCGCCAATAACAAACTCTTCACAACTCTTCCGTACTCTTTGAGTACCCAGCTCACAGTTCTAGCATCATTTTATTTTATTTTTTTTAAGATTTTATTTATTTATTTGAGAGAGAGAGCACGCACAAGTAGGGGGAGGGGTGGAGGGAGAAGCAGGCCTCCTGCGGAACAGGGAGCCCAATGATGCAGCACTCAATCCCAGGACCCTGAGATCATGATCTGAGCCAAAAGCAGATGCTTAAACGACTGAGTCACCTAGGTACCCCTTATCATCATTTACTACAGGTTTTTAAAAAGTAGCTGTTTTCTTACCTGCTTCTCCCACTTCGAACTGCCTTCTGTGGAGGAAGGGAAAGGGTGCTGTGTCTCATTTACATCTATATTCCCAGAAGCTAGGAGAGTCCTTCACATATATTTAGTGCTCAACAATATTTATTGAAGTATACTAAGCCAGCAGACATGAAAATAGACTAGGAAACCTTCCAATTGTAGGACTTGATCATTCTAGTCAATATTGAATATGAATTCATCATTAGATTTATACCCATATATTTATATTCATAAAATAAAACCACCATTTTATTGCACTGTGGAGGATTTATTTCACATATAAATTCTTTTAAATGGGCAGGCTTTACATTTCCTTTGCTCAGCAGAATGGTAACTGTGAAGGAAAGAGGCATAAATGACAGGAGAATTAAATGACATTATGACAACATTGATCTGGTAACAAATGATAAATAGTTTCAAAAAAGGAATGTGTAAGTTTTCCATTGGATTAATTAAGGTCAAGAGTCCTCAACTGGGGGCCATTTTGGCCCCTACGGGACAATAGGCAATGTCCAGAGACATTTTTGGTTGTTAGGCTAGTGGAGAGGTTGTTACTGGCATCTAGCGGGGAGAGGCCAGAGATGCTGCTAGACATCCTATAATGCACAGAACAGCCCTTCACAACATTCAGCCCAAAATGTCCATAGTGTTGAAATTGGGAAATCCTAATTTAGATAGACCCTCAAGTAGTGCTGGGAATTTAGTACATCTTTATTGGTTGATTGCTCGGCTCAGCCCATGACCTCTGACACCCTGGGCATCTCCACGATGTGATAAAGAGAGTTGTTGTCTGATGGTGATTCTGAGGCACCAGTAGTCCCAGAACTGCCCTCTGAATCACAACAGAATGTGGCTGGCTCAGGGGCCTCTCCTTCCTCTCAAAACCTGGAACCCACCAGCCAGGACAGGTCCCCAATATGTGTCATTTATCTGTTTATGGATACACCCATCATCTATAACTAGACCATATATTCCTCTTGGCAGAAGACATATGTTTAACTTCATTGCACCCATTTGCCACAGTCTCTCCATACTTCTCCCATATAATGCTTTGGCACTTAGGGCATGACAATGATGCTTTATTTTTGAAATTCATTGGTTAACAGTTAAACAGCTGGTCATCTGTAGATATCCTCTGTAGTAAATTGCAACTAACCAGAATGTAGTGTGACTAGAATCGCCCATTCTTCCACCATTCGAGATAAATTAGTTGTCATGGTATTTGACATTCACATTTGTGTTCCTGGGGTCAAGGTTTATGTTGGGTGTTTAGGGTTAGAGTTAGAGAATTCCTTAAGTTCTGTTTTCTTCCTCGATTCCCTGGTTTGTGAGGGTATTGTCTTTTATCTGGGAAATAAAATGGAGACTTCACTCACACAAGAAAAACAAAAACAAAACTTTTCCGTTCAGGTAGATATCAGTATTTGGTAAGGCATGATGGGAGGTTGACATATAAAGGTATCTGACAGGGTGATCAGCCCTACATAAGTTTGTGATGTAGGTAGGCAGTGTGTTTGGCATCCATCTCCTTACTCCCCCAGGTGTATCCCCCTTGCCCCCCCACCCTGCATTTTCAGAATCACTGATACCTGCCACTATGTGAAGAGCACTTACTACTTTGGCATTGGGTAATACAGTGTCTTGCCTGGGGCAGGCGCACTTGTATTTTTTTTGTTGTTGTTATCTTTTTTTTTTTAATGTTATGTTAGTCACCATACATTACATCATTAGTTTTTGATGTAGTGTTCCATGATTCATTGTTTGCGTGTAACACCCAGTGCTCCATGCAATACGTGCCCCCCTTAATACCCGTCACCAGGCTAACCCATCCCCCTACCCCCTCCCCTGTAGAACCCTCAGTTTGTTTCTCAGAGTCCATAGTTTCTCATGGTTCCTCTCCCCCTCTGATTTCCCCCCTTTCATTTTTCCCTTCCTACTTTCTTCTTTTTTTTTTTTTTAACATATAATGTATTATTTGTTTCAGGGGTACAGGTCTGTGATTCATCAGTCTTACACAATTCACAGCGCTCACCATAGCACCTACCCTCCCCAGTGTCCATCACCCAGCCCACCTCATCCCTCCCACCCCCAACCCCTCCAGCAACCCTCAGTTTGTTTCCTGGTTTGTCTCCCTCTCTGGTTTCATCTTGTTTCATTTTTTCCTCCCTTCCCTTATGGTCCTCTGTCTTATTTCTCAAATTCCTCATATCAGTGAGATCATATGATACTTGTCTTTCTCTGATTGACTTATTTCGCTTAGCATAATACCCTCTAGTTCCATCCACATCGTTGCAAATGGCAAGATTTCGGTTTTTTGATGGCTGCATAATATTCCATTGTGTGTGTGTGTGTGTGTGTATTATATATATATAATAATATATATATTATATATATACCACATCTTCTTTAAACATTCATCTGTTGATGGACATCTAGACTCTTTCCATAGTTTGGCTATTGTGGACATTGCTGCTATAAACATTGGGGTGCACGTACCCCTTTGGATCACTACATTTGTATCTTTGTGGTAAATACCCAGTAGCACAATTGCTGGGTCATAGGGTAGCTCTGTTTTCAACTTTTTGAGGAACCTCCATGCTGTTTTCCAGAGTGGCTGCACCAGCTTGCATTCCCACCAACAAAGGGCACTTGTATTTTAAAATCCAAAAAGAATGAATCACTATTGATAGGATTTCAAATATTAGACCATTAGGGCAGGATCGATTTGGGGGAGTCCTTCCTCAATGTCCCTCAAATCACACTGTCTGTAGAAAAAGCAGGTAAAACTAGCAACGGAAAGACTTCAGGTCAGCGTCCCGTGAGATGACAATAAGATTTTAAAAAATTCATTATTTCAACTTTTGTTATTTGTTCTGTGTCTATCAACTGGGAACAAATTCCTTTAGTTTCTAATAGAGGAAAGAAGACAGAGTTTAAAGCTGTTTGATCTTTGCAAACTCATGTCATGCTAAGAAGCTAATTAACATATAAATGCCAATACAAATAATTTCACTGCAGTCAGAGGTTGGTTCTCTCTGGGGCTCTTTAAGGGCAAGAATTTTAGTCCTGAAGCAGTTTAGAGAGTGCAGTTTATTATTTTTTTAATTTATTTTTTAAAAGATTTTATTTTGTTTGTTTGACAGAGAGAGAGACAGAGGGAGGGAACACAAGCAGGGGGAGTGGGAGAGGGAGAAGCAGGCTTCCAGCAGAGCAGGGAGCCCGATGCGAGGCTGGTTCCCAGGACCCTGGGATCATGACCTGAGCCCAAGGCAGAGGCTTAACGACTGAGCCACCCAGGCGCCCCTAGAGAGTGCAGTTTAGAAAGGGCACAGGACTTCTGATGGTGGCAATATTTGTGTCTGGGACTAGTCCATTTTCCAATCATGACCCTACTCGTACATAGGTTGCTCTTCTATCATTACCCCCACATTATGAGTGAGGAAGGCCAAGGGCACAGCAAGTATATGTCAGAACTGAGCTTGTACCTGTGTTTCGTGGCTGTAGATGTCTTGGCCTCCTGCTGCGTTAACTCTCCATCATAACCAGGTGTCTCTGCTGTCCTCAGGGAGCTTTCCCACTGAAGGAGGGGGGGGGGTGCCTGGACACCATGAAAAGAGAAGATGGTTTGCTAACTATGCTAATACAGCTCTTTCTTGCTTTCTAGGTTTTGGAGGTGCATTGGGTTACCTTTTGGGTGCCATCGACTGGGCTCATCTGGAGATAGGAAGAATGCTGGGCACAGAATTCCAGGTCATGTTCTTCTTCTCCGCCTTGGTGCTCACTTTGTGTTTTATTATTCATCTCTGCAGTATTCCTGAAGCCCCACTTAGAGATGTTACAAAGGACACATCCCCACAGCAAGCCCCCCAGGACTTTCCATTGCCATCAGACAAAATGTACCAGTATGGGTCTATTGAGAAAGCTAAAAACGGTTCTGTAAACCCAGAGCTGACATTGAAGGGAGAAAAAAACAAAAATCCTGCTGAACAGGTAAGATGCAAATTCTTTTTTCTTTACTCAGGAAAAATATCCTTGCTCTTACCCTTATTTTTTTTATTATTCTTTGTTTTGTTGGCTTGTTTGATGTGAAGTCTAATTGAATCCTCCAATCCCCTTTCGCTCTTATCCCTTTGAATTAAAACTTTAAACATGTGTGCATTTTCCTCTGGTCTTCCTCTTATTCTTTTCAGAGCATCAGAGTAGAGAAGAGGAAGCCAGTTCCAAAATGTTAGACCATAAGAGAAGCCTGGAACCATTTTTAGGCCTCAAGAAATATCTTAACTCTTAGATTGGGATTATAAATTTGTTCCTCCAAATGACAGCATCCCTGGGTTGGTAACTGGGTTGGGCATGCTGAATTTGTATTTCATGAGTTGATTAAATATTTTTTTTAGGTCATTTTCAGTGAACTGGTCAGTGAATTAATTAGTTTAAAAATTAAAAAAAAAACTCTACTAAATTACAGAGAAATGGGACTAGGTTAAGGGGAAATTGTCAGAGAGAAGAGGCTAGAACTGTGCTGACCAATACATTGGCTACTTGTCACATAAGGCTATTTAAGTTTAAATTAATTAAAATGAAATAAATTAAAATGTCAGTTCCTTAGTTGCATTAGCCACATTTCAAATGCTTAATAGCTCCTTGGGCCTAGGCACTACAGTCCAGGGCAGTGCAGATATAAAACATTTCCATCACTGTAGAAAGTTCTTTTGGACAACACTGATGCACAGCTGCATCCTCCTTCAAGCTGAGTTTAATGGCAATACCTCATTAATATAAGTACAAAGGATTCCCTCACTGGCAAAGGGGTTGTGGAAGACCTGGGTTTAAATCTTGATTCCTCTAGCTGACTGACCTGTATTATTCATTCAACAATTACCAGGCACTTGATGTAAAGAGCCTGAAGATTAAGAGCATATGGGGCACCTGGGTGGCCCAGTCAGTTAAGCATCCAGCTCTTGGGTTTCGGGTCAGGTCATGATCTCAGGTTGGTGAGATCGAGCCCTGCTTTGGCGTCGGGGTCTGCTCTGAACGTGGAGCCTGCTTAAGATTCTCTCTCTCCCTCTCCCTCTGCCCCTCCCCACCCAATGCTTACAGGCACTCTGTCTCTCTCTAAAAAAAAAAAAAAAAAAAAATTAAGAGCATAGGTGTTCAAATCCTGCCTCTACCACCTCTGGAATGCATGACCTTGGGCATTTGTTTCTGTAAAATAAGAAAGTGATTCTATCTACCTACAAGGATTTTGTGCAAATTCCATGACATAAGCCATGCAAAGTTCCTACCACATAGTAAGGGGTGAGGTACAAGTGCCTATTATGAGCCTGACAGAAGGCTGAGCACCTCACACACCAACAGGGAACAGATTTAATCTGTGCTCTAACAGAACTTTCATACAAGCTCAGTGAATCTCTATGAGTTCAACTTCTCTTGATGGGTGGGCCTATCTATTTTCCAGGATTATTGGGTTGTTCAGCTAAGATAAAGCATGCAAAGGTGATTTTTAAGCTTTATATAAGTATATAAGTGTATTACAGTCATTATTCAGTCAACAAACTACTTCAGGTACCAAGTATGTACAAAGCATTACTAGGTATTTAGGGATCATGAAATTGACTAATCTCTGCTTCCTATGCTCAAGAATTTACAGCCCTAACAGGGGCCATAATAAGCCATTTATACCAATACTTATATTCCAAGGTAGAATATACACTTTCCAAAATGAGGGTGGTGGTGCAGTTTGAGAACTGGGATTATTTTTTTTTTAATGGCAAGAGGAGGCCTGAATTATTTCAGGATTCAAACTGGATCCCATAAAATTCATTGACAATTCCTCCATGCCATCATTGCTTACCTCAATATTTCAGTAGTCTCCTTTTGAGTGTACGCTTGTGAAGTTCTCTTTCCTACTCTCGCCTCTGTGCCTTTTTCATGTATAAATCCACCCCCCCCATCTCCAGTTGACAAAGGTGTACAATATGTGAAGTAGAGCAACTCCCAAGGGTTCAGAACTATTGAAAGGACTTCACCAAGGGAATCAAGCAGTCACAGAATAAGATGTCAGCTGAATTTTCATTCTGAGTGAAAATACCCAAAGGGCTTTGAATATTTACATTCCCAGCTTTTACAGAACTACTAGGCACAATTTGAAAGTTCATATTTATTTTTGGATGAGAGGAAAACAGATTAACAATGAAAGTAGGATGAAAATTATGTATAAGGCAGAAGCATAAATTAGTATTTGGAATGAGGATGAATACTTGCTGGCCACATTCACGTCTTAAAATTTTGCATTTTTGGAAAGAAAAGAAGAAAAGTAAAAATAAATCACTTAGTCTGAGGCATGAAACTCAGGCTGTTGCTGTTGTTGTTTAAAGATTTTATTTATTTTTTTTAAGTAATCTTTACACCCAACGTGGGGCTTAAAACTACAACCTTGAGAACAAGAGTTGTATGCTTTACCAACTGCGCCAGCCAGGAGCCCCTGTTGTTTTTTTGTTCTATACCCTTAGCTTCTTCCTATGGTCAAATAAAAAGTAACAAGGCATCACTGAGGTTTTTTTTTTTTTTTCAGTCAACATTTATTTTTACAGTTACCATGTTTTACATGCAGAGAAGTTATTTTTCCTAATTCCAAAGGAATGTCTATACTTTTTAAATACTGACTAGGTACAGTTGTTCCCGGTTATCTGAAGCTTAACTTTCCACATTTCGGTTACTTGTGGTCAACTGCCATCTGGAAGCAGATTATCCTTCTGATTTATCATCAGAAGGTCAATAGTAGCCTAATGCTATGTCATCCACCTCACTTCATCTCATCCCATAGGCATTTTATCATCCCATGTCATCACAAGAATAAGAAGAAGAGTAGGTACAACATAATGATATATTTTGGGAGAGAGACCACATTCACACAACTTTTATTATAGTATATTGTTATAATTGTTCATTTTATAATTGTTGTTAATCTTATAATGTGTCTAATTTATAAATTAAACCTTATCATTGGTATGTGTGCATAAGAAAAAACATAGTCTATATAGGTTTTGGTACTATGTGCGGTTTCAGGCATCCACTGGGGGTCTTGGAATGTATCCCCCATGCATAAGGGTGGGGATGACTGTGTAAGATCAGTTTAGTCATGGCCAGTAGGTTAACTACTACAAAACTAACAAATTAAAAAAGCAATTTATATAACAAATCTACAATAAGTAAATATATTTTTCCACAATAAATATTGAAGTAAAAAGCATTATTATATAAAGTTAAGAGTTATAAAACAATATGTTGTTATAGTTAAAATAGAAACTCCCAGGAGACCACCTTATAAATAAACTAGCCAGGACTCAATTTCATTATGTTGAGATTCAGAATAAATAAAGATCTGAGAAGAAAGGCCTATCACCCCACCATGACTGATGTTTATAGTCTCAGTGTCTTAATATTCCCAAGGTGTCTTTCTTCTCTTATATAACAAGATGCTGAAAGCTGTTTTATTCTTTGTATTTCAAAACAGTTGTGTCAATAGTTCAAAATTTCTCATCTTCTCAAGGTTTCTGATACAAAAAAAATAGTGTAGCCTTTGGTTTCAACATAATTTAAGCCTAAATTAAAGAATGTGGGGGGGAGGTGCCTGGGTGGCTCAGTCATTAAGCGTCTGCCTTCAGCTCAGGTCATGATCTCAAGGTCCTGGGATTGAGCCCCACATTGGGCTCCCTGCTCAGCGGGAAGCCCGCTTCTCCCTCTCCCACTCTGCCTGCTTGTGTTCCCTCCCTCTGTGTCTCTCTCTGTCAAATAAATAAATAAAATCTTTAAAAAAAAATAAAGAATGTGGGTATGTGTGTGTATGTGTGTGTGTGTGTCTTCTATATTGTTTTCACCTCTGACTCCACATAGGGCTCATTTATGTGTGCTGGCTCATGGCAGGATCCAGAGAAATAAACTGGGAAGAGGTACGTGACCAAGAGCAGGGAGCTGATTGGCTCTCTCTATCAATTTTCTGTGCTACCTAGCAAATTACCTAACAAATTACCTTGAGCAGCTTAAAACCATATTTATTATCTCACAGTCTTATAGGTCAGAATCTGGGTGGGCTCAACTGGGTTCTCTGCTTAGGGTCTCACAAGGCTGAAATCAAGTTGTTGATGGAGGTGCATTCTCATCCGGAGGCTCAACTGGGGAAGAATCGGCTTCTGAGCTCATTCAGGTAGAATCCAGTTCCTTGTGATTATAGGACTGAGGTGCTTATTTTCTTGCTGACTGATGGCCAGGAGTCACTCATCTCCTAGAGTCCACTCTAAGGTCCCTTCCATGTGACCCCTTCCACCTTCAAAACCAGTAACCTTTGTGCTTTGAAACTCTCTGACTTCCTCTTCTGCTCCCAGCTGGAGAAAATTCTCTGCTTTTTAAAGGGCTCATGTGATTTGGTTAGAATCACCAGATAATCTCCCTTTTGATTAACTAAAAGTCAAGAAATTAGTAACCCTAATTATATCTGCAAAATCCCTCTGCCATGTAACATAACATAATTATGGGGTAACAGCAGGGGACAGAGATCATGGGGCCATCTTAGAATTCAGCCTACCACACTTTTGGATTCAAGAAATCTAAGAATTATAATCATCTAAGGGCTAGCTTAGATCTATGAGCTCTGTCCTTGTGTAGTGGTTCTGTCACTCAAAGACAGGATGCTACATATCTCTTACATCTTGGCCCAAAGCAAGCCCCATTTCCAGTCCCTTTACCTTTAGCTCTCCAAAGCCTTATTTGGGCCTGAAACTGCTAAATATCCACACATACTTAACAGAACACCTCCTATAAGACCTCTCCGTGGAAACCTTGGTGCCATGCCGAGAAAGTGTGACTCTGTGGGGTAATCGACTGACAGATATGTAACATGGCTGTGTGCTCTGGCTCACACAGCTGGCTGCATGTCTGCACTGAAGGTCACACCTGTTTCATGTTTTATTCCAGACTAGGAAGGCAATGACCATGAAGTCACTGCTGAGCGCGCTGGTGAATATGCCTCCCCACTACCGCTGCCTTTGCATCAGCCACTTCATTGGATGGACCGCCTTCCTGTCTAACATGCTCTTCTTTACAGATTTCATGGGCCAGGTAATAAACATGTCTGTGCACATACTCATTGACTTGCACATCAATCCATCATTCAGCACCTGTCGAGTTTCTTCTAGGCTCTCCCCTAGGATGGGCACAGTAAGAGTGTAAGAAAGAGTACATTCAAGAAGCTGTCTTACAGACAGGAACTGGAGCCAAGTTATTACACCCTAGACATCTCTATGGGACCAGTTCTTGATCAAATACAACAGATAGGGAAGAATCAGTGTGAGCTGCAGTAGTCATGGCAGGCTTAATGAAGGAGGTATAGTACGATCCAGGCCTTGAAAGGTGAATGGAAGTTGGACAGAGAGAGAAGAGGGAGAAAACATTCCAAGCAGGAATAAGAATGGTATGTGTGGAGATGAGTCAGAAGCCTGTTGGCTGTATCGGAAGAAGGGTGGCAGGGTTGCCTAAGTTAGGCGGGGGCCAGATGTTAGGTGGAAAGAAAGGTGTTAATGATCCAGGGAAATATTGTTTAGACTTGATGGCATTAGGACTTCTGGAAGGTCCTTGAGTAGAAGCATAAAAGGATGAAAGGGGTGATGTGGTCATGGGAGAATGAGCTCTGTGTCTTAGGAAGGGCCCCCGGGCAGTAACATGTCACTCCCCAAGGATGGAGAAGCAGAGCGCATGAAAGGGAGTCCCTACCACACTGCATTTGTATCTCAATGGTCCCAAATCTCTCTTTCAGATTGTGTACCAAGGGGATCCCTACAGTGCACACAACTCCACAGAGTTTCTCATCTATGAAAGAGGGGTCGAGGTTGGATGTTGGGGCTTGTGCATCAATTCCGTGTTTTCCTCACTTTATTCTTGTAAGTCTCTTCCTCCTGAAGGTATCTTCTAGAGGGCTCTGGTCTAGCAGAATCTTGGGTTTTATATTTCTATATTTATTTTTTTGCTTTTTAAAATACCAGATCCTTGGGTTGCCTGGGTGGCATAGTCGGTTAAGCATCTGACTCTTGGTTTCGGCTCAGGTCATGATCTCAGGGTCATGAGATCAAGCCTCATGTCAGGCTCCTCCCTCAGTGTGGAGTCTGCTTTGGATTTTCTCTCCCTTTCCCTCTGCCCCTCCTACTCATGCTTGCTCTTTCTCTTTCAAATAAATAAATCTATAAAATAAAATAAAATAAAATAAAATAAAATAAAATAAAATAAAATAAAATAAAATAAAATAAAATACCAGATTCTTGATAAATATATGGAGATCAGAAAGGACCCTTAGAAAGGACCACAAGAAGTATCCTTTGCCATATTGAATTCTATGTTATTTTCCTCATTGATTACTTTTTCCTTGGAGTCCATGGGTTCTTGATCAAAGCTCCCTGGAAAATAAAAGGAAATCTTGTAAATAAGATGGTGGAATATTAGATGCACAAGGGCTAGAGTCTCTGCTCTGAGTATTGATTAGCATCAAGTCTATGTTCTACTGGAATAAGATCATTGGTGGAGTTTCACAGATACGCTTATTAGATCTGTATATGACAGAACATAGGAGGGATGGTTAATATGCTAGGTGACAGAATTAACATGCAAAATGACCTTAGCTCAGGTGGGGAGGGAAGTATGTCACAGGAGCACTATTCCAGGATTGAGGATGACAACTTTCTTTCTCAGGTACTAGCTTTCCATGGGGACCAGAGTTGATTAACCCCCACTTAGCTAAGTTTTAGTTGTAAAGACATTGCAAACAAAGAGATTTCTGTGATTGGTTTAATTTATTTATTGTGTTTTTTAAAGATTTTATTTATTTTATTTATTTGAGAAAAAGAGAGAGAGCATGGGGGGAGGAGCAGAGGGAGAGGGATAAGCAGACTTCAAGCTGAGCTCAGAGCCCGATGCAGGGCTCGATCCCAGGACCCCAAGATTATGACCTGAGCTGAAATCAAGAGTCAGTCACTCAACAGACTGAGCCACCCAGGCATCCTTGTGACCGGTTTTAAACAATCCCAAACTAATATACTATAACCCTAGTCTCATTTGGTGCCTGCCAATGTATATGGAAATCTCTAAGACCTGTATACACTGAATTAAGTGAAATAGTCTAGCCTATAAAATGTATGCAGGTTCCCCCATTTGGGATGGAAATTGGGCTTCTAATAATAATGGGAGCTCCTCCTGGATTATGGGGAGATAGTTGGCCCCCAACTCAGAGCTCTAAGCTTTGGGTAGGCCCAAGGGACAGCAGGGTTATGGCCCAGGTGGGAGAGTGGGAAGTGACGGAGGACAATCCCTGTTACCATTCTCAGGGGCACACGTTCTGCCATTGAAGTGTGCTTCTTGGGTGGGGGGAAGAGAATGAATGCATATAATGACCCCTTGTCTGACCTCCACCTAGCCATAGCACAGCAGGAAACCTGCTTCAAGATCAACAAATCTCTTCAAAATATAGCACAGTTGGGAAAAGGTCACCTAATACAAACATGTAAGGAATTCAGGAGCCCAGTAATCATGAAACCATAAACTTTATTAATTTAAAATTTATGATAACCAGATAATAGTGGCTTAAAACTTCTATTTCTCCCTTTTTCCCCCTAGAGTGCATGAACTAAGAAAATCGCAGGAGGAAGATTTCAAGTACTTAAAATAGAATCCGAGATTGGTAGACTAAAAGGGTCTAATTATTCATCTCAATCCCTTTGTGCTTTCAAGACCTGGGGGTACTATTTACTACCACCCTCATTCTTGTAAGAGGAGCCCATTTTCCCACAAGTAATATGCATTTTAGTTTTGTGTCAATTAAAAAATAATTTTTTCTCAAAGAATCCCTACTAGGGACATCCCATTAGTCTAGTCTTAGTTCTTGTATGAATTTCATTGCACTTGAAGATTAAAATGCATGTTATTTTTAGGTCCTTTTGAGTTAAAAGCCCTGTGTACAATAAACTATTATTTGAATAGTTTCCCAAAGTTATATTAATATATAAATTTATGGGATCCCCTTTTTTTTAAAGTAAGTTTCTTTTTTTTTAATTCTTTTTTTAAGATTTTATTTATTTATTTGACAGAGAGAGACATAGCAAGAGCAGGAACACAAGCAGGGGGCAGTGGGAGAGGGAGAAGCAGGCTTCCCACTGAGCAGGGAGCCCAATGCAGGCTCGATCCCAGGACCCTGAGATCATGACCTGAGCCGAGGGCAGACGCCCAATGACTGAGCCACCCAGGTGCCCCTATGGGATCCCTTTCATTTGAATTAGAGCTAAAATTTTATTTATAAAATACCAACCAGCCCTTAAGGATCTTCAGGAGCTCTCTGTGACCATAAGATAAAGTCAAAGTCCTCAGCCTGGCATTCCATGATTTTCAGTTTGGTCCCGTTCACACTTTGACCTCTCTCACTCCTGTTCAGATTCACTACCCCTGATGACTCACTACACAGACTTTCTCAGCTCTGTGTATTTCCTACTGCCTTTAGTTTCTCCTTCTCCAGATGCTCTCTCTAATTCCACATCTAGACAACTGCTAATCCTGCTTTTAGACTCAGCTCCAATGGACCTTGTCTGTTAAATCTTCCAAGTTCTTTCCCTCTGCACTCTAACCCACCCTGAGCAGAATCAGTCTTTTCCTTCAGTTCCAGAGTGCACCATTTATCTTGGACTCATCACATAACATCAGATGCAGATCTGGAATTTCTATCCAGATGGAGTTTGGCAGGGCAAACTGGCTGCTGGGGTGGAGGGTGAGGTATGGTATTTTCAAGTTCCTTTTGCATAGCAAGCATACTTAGATCCATGAAAATAGCAATATCGAATACTGAAATGTAGCCAATTTATCATATCTGACATTACTAGTCATAGCTGGTGCTTAAATCCGTCATTTATCTCCAATCCTAATGAGAGGCACAGTGTGAGGACATAACTATGACTGGGTATTAGACCCAGTGGAGGGCGAGTCAGGTTTACCCTTACACTGACTGATTTCTCTTCATGGATAAAGGATTCTTTGCTTGGCTTTCAGTCTTTGTTCTGAAGTTACTTATGTTTCCAAATAGCTCTTTATGCTTCTTTGCCTTCTTCTTGGCTGGCCTACATATTGGATGAGAGCATTTCCCCAGTGAATACTGATGGTGTCTTTTAGGTACTGAGACACCTAGATTACATTTTTTTGTATAAATATAATCATTAAGCAAACAGAAACTGACTTAGCTCTATACTGCTTTTTCTCTCAACCTTGACAACAGCCCCCTAGGGATGGTATGAACTTAATAGAGGAAGCAACGTTGCCCACTTGTCATTTTCAGAGCTTTGACTTCCATGGGATGATCTGAGACAGTATTTAGTTTCATAATTGGTTCAAATGTAATACAGATTAGGTTTCTTGTCTCTGTGATGTGAATCTAACAGTTATTTGGATAGATAGGGAGAATTTCATTCTTGAATAGACACATTTCGGTCTTTATCATTTATCCCCTGGGTTCGTGTTCCAGTAGAATGGCCAGGGGAAAGATAGGGAGCCTATGGATGAGAAATAGCTATTTAAAAAAGAAAGACTGAAGTTTTTGTTGTTGTTGTTGTTGTTTAAAGATTTTATTTATTTATTTGACAGAGACACAGAGAGGGAACACAAGCAGGGGGTGGAAGAGGGGGAAACAGGCTTCCCACTGAGCAGGGAGCCTGATGCGGGGCTTCATCCCATGACCCTGAGATCATGACTTGAGCCGAAGGCAAACGCTAAATGACTGAGCCACCTAGGTGCTCCGAAAGACTGAAGTTTTTTAGGGAATTCTCCTACCATGGTGGAACATAGTAAACATTGTAAAACATTGTAAAGCAGAACATAAACATAGTAAAACATTGTAAAGCAGAATTTTCAATTTTTAAGAATGAACTCTACTAGAGTACTTTTATGAGCAAGCCAAATTTACCTGCTGGGTGGGGAACCAAGTTAAGAGATAACCATCTTCAGCCTCAGTCAAGCCTGTATTTGTTGAAATGACAATAGCCACCATTAACGGGATGTCTTCTGTGTGCTTGGCACTGGGCTGAGTGATGTCACAAGCATTGGATTTCATTTGATCCTGACAACAACCACAAAGAAGGGTTTTATTAGTTCCATTTGTTTGTGTAGGTTTTTTTAGATGAGGAACCTGAGGTTTTGAGAAGTGATGGGAATGGACTGACAGGGAGGGAGCCCGCAATGGGGAGGTGCTGGGTATAGTGAGGGCCCCTCACCAGCCTGGGAAGTGTTGGCAAGTCAGGGAACCTGTCTTTAGACAAAGAACATTCTTTGGCTTCCTTCTCAGGTATGCAGATGACATTCAAATGGAGGTGGAGGGACCAGATGACTTGGATCATTCTTAAAATCTGGTTGTTTCAGTTGCCTCCAACCTGACTTTGGGCCATGGGGCCAAAATAGGCCTGGATTGTTGTTTGTGTCCTGTTAGGCCAGACTCTGTGAATTAGAAGGACCCACTTTTCTTCCACGTCTTGCACCCCCACAGTCCCATAGCCAAGGTGCGCTTTTCCAGCACCTCTTTGCATCCTATTGCTATTCAGCTGCCTGCCAGAACGGCGCCTGGTCCTTACTTGTGGGAAAAAAAACCAACCTAGCAAGACAATTTCCAGCTGTCTGCATGCACAGGATTTAAAACCGATTCCAAAAGCCAGCTATTTTGAAGCAAAGATAAGGAGGTTCTTTTGTTCCTGATTCGGTATCAAAGGAAAGCTCCTAAAAAACAGTGAATCTTCAAAAGAAAAGATTGTCTGAAATTACCAAATGCTGTGAGGCACTTCCAGCTGTAATTTCTTTCTTTCTTCTCCCCACAGACTTTCAGAAACCTTTGGTATCCTACATCGGATTAAAGGGTCTTTACTTCATGGGGTATTTGCTATTTGGCCTGGGGACAGGATTTATTGGGCTTTTCCCGAACGTCTACTCCACCCTGGCTCTGTGTACCTTGTTTGGTGTGATGTCCAGCACTCTGTACACTGTGCCCTTTAACCTCATTGCCAAGTACCACCGCAAGGAGCAGGAGGAGAAGGTGCGTCATTGAACTTCACCGGAAGGCTGGGGGGATGTGGTAGGAAAGTAAAGGGCAGAGCTGGAGAATCAGGGTCTTGGAACAGCAACTCTAAAATGCCCAGCCAAATGTAGTGATGGTCTGGCCAAAGCATGACCACCTTCGCAGCCCACAACCCCCTCCTTACTCGGAAGCCCTGGGCACCTGGAGAGCTGTAGAGCAGGTCCAGTTACCCTCCGGTATCTGATTAGGGAAAGAAGGCTCAGTAATGCTGAGAAACAAGCCCACCCTGGTTATCACACACAGACAAAGAAAGGGGAACCTGGGGACTCTGACCCCTGCCCCAATGTCCCGAGCACCTGCAGCATTTCCCCTGCACTGGCACCCACCCCCGTGGCTGCAAGGTGGCATTTCTGGGAATCGTTGGGTAAAGGTAGGAGATTTCCCTTGGAGACCAGGTTTTAGCAAGTCAGACCCTGCGTGCAAGGAGGAAAGCTGAGGTTGCAGGTGGTCAGCCCACCAGCTGCCTCCAGGGAGGCCTGCCCCAGCTCTGCCTTGAGGCTCAGGCTGGAGGGCAAGGCACCATGCTGCCCCCCAGCAACAGTGGGTTGGTGTTTCTGCTCTAAGAAAACCACCTCTTCTTTTCAAAAGATGTCACTTTTTCTCCATGAAAATAGGCATCACCTTTCCTTAGCTGGAGTAGTGATACAAGAGCTAAAGAGGTAACTTCCAGCTCACTCTATCACAGTGTGACGCTGCAGAAACACGTTTATGTGGCTGCAATGCTCGCCGCTTTCCCTATGCCTTGACCTGGCAAAGGCCGCAGGGCGAAGTGGCACCAGGAGTTAGAACCTTCCAAACGAGAGTTTGTGGCTGTCCTCACCCCCCTGGCAATCAGTGTCACTAATGTTCCGATGCACGCAAGGGTCTTGCTGTTAGAGACAGTTATCACGCAGAACCGTCCCTCCTAGGGGCAGTTAGGTGGTACCAGGGCGCAACACACAAGCTTTGGACTCAGAGAAACCTGGATTCAAATCCTGCCACCCCTACTTGGCAGGTGTGTGACACAGGGGGTGTTATTCGTTTATTTATTAAATATCCCTTAAAATGATTTCCTTTTTCGATAAGGCAGTATGTTCACATGGTTCAACAATGCCAACCATATCCACGCGCACTCCCGAAGTGGCTCCCGCTGACACCTTTCCTATCGCCCTCCAGGGCTTACGCGTGAGCCCCTTGCTAGGTTCTTCTTTATCTTGCTTATCCTTCCAGTATTTTAAAATGAACACCAAGCAAGTATGAATCTGTTTTCCTATTTTTCCTCTCGTATTCAAAGTATTATGTGCTTTTTTCTGCACAATGCTTTTTTTTTTTTTTTTTTTACTTAATGATATAGGAATTATCATTCAGACTCTAGGGCCTGGGCTTCCTAATCAAGCAAATAGGAAAAATAAGCCCACCTTAAGGAGTGGTTGGAAAATGAAATTAAACAAGGTAGTGCAAGTGGGGTGCCTGGCATCATGCCTACCTGGCACCTGGGAAGGACTCAAAAAATGGTAGTTAGTATTATTGTTGTTCCATGGGGATGATAGTATGTGCAACCCGGGAGGAGGGGAGGATGCGGTGAAGCAGCGAAGCGACACAAGCCAAAGAATCTTGTGTAAGGCCCAGCACGTAAAAGACACCCGATGAATGGCAACATTATCAACCAATTCAGACCAACTGCATTCTGAAAGGTTGAAATGTTTTTGTTTTTTTTTTTTATGTTGCCTCTCCTATGTAGATCTGTGCTTCAATACCCTTCTTATACATATTTGAACTTCTAACACGACGGAAGGAAAGGAATGGCATATTTATTGAGTTTCCATTACATTGTATTTATTGACTTCTTTTTTTTTTTTTAAAGATTTTATTTATTTATTTGACAGAGAGAGAGATAGCGAGAGCAGGAACACAAGCAGGGCGAGTGGGAGAGGGAGAAGCAGGCTTCCCCCCAAGCAGGGAGCCCGATGCAGGGCTCGATCCCAGGACCCCAGGATCATGACCGGAGCCAAAGGCAGACGCTTAACAACTGATCCACCCAGGTGCCCCTACTTACTGACTTCTTAGGAAGAGATAATTTTGCATATCTTAACCATTTAACCTTCCTAGGCATTAACAGGGGAGTTTAAGACTTGGTCTTGAACAGGTTGTGTAGATGCAACCAAGACCATGGGACCCACAAGCTGAAAGGTTTCCTATCTGGCTCTTCACAGAAAAAGTGTGCGCCAGCTTCTGCCCTAAAGCACAGTTCCTGTAGATGAAGCGTGTTCCTGTGTTTCCCTTGCAGAGACAGCAGGCCCCGGGAGGGAGCGAGGACGGTGGGAGAGGGCAGGGCCTGGCCTGCGCTGTCCTCACCTGCATGGTGCAGCTGGCGCAGATCCTGGTTGGAGGTGGCCTGGGCTTTCTGGTCAACAAGGCTGGGAGCGGCATCGTGGTGATCACGGCCTCTGCGTTGGCGCTGATCGGCTCCTGTTTTGTGGCTCTCTTTGTTAGATACGTGGATTAGATCAATAAACGTCATCCCTTCCCTCAGACACAGGGAAGTCCATGGCAGGAAATCAGTCTCTTTTTTTGGCTCTGCAGTTTTAGGGTCTGCCCATTGGATGCCCTGTGATAAGACCTCAGCCTCAGCTGTCTGCCCACACCTCACTTTCTGCCAGCTCTCTGCACAACAGTTTCCAGCTTTCGGGCATCATTTATCTTAGAAAAGATTGGGCTCTGCCTCCATTCACTGGGGCAAAGGTTGAGTGTTGGAGAGAGCTCCTCCATCTCAGGCTATTTCTGGCCTTGACAAAACTCGAGAAGCAGACTAGTTCTACACACGACAAATTGGGTCTATTCTATCATGTGGTTTTTTTTTTTCCTAATCAGAGGTCCGTATTTTGTCAGAGGGTCATATTTTTCATTAAGTCACCAATACTCAAAATACTGCTGATGATTTATTTTATGATATTAATTTACTCATATTTAATTCATAATTTGCTCATATAGACAGATAGTCCCTGACTTACAATGGTTCAACTTAACTTTTTTTTTTTTTTTACTTTATGATAGTTGGGAAGCAATGCGCATTCAGTAGAAACCCATACTTCGAATTTTGAATTTTGATCTTTTCTGGGTGATATGCGGTATGTTCCTCTCTCATGATGCTAGGCAGTGACAGCTCAGCTCCCAGTCAGCCTCAAGATCACAAAGATGAACAACTGGTACATTGACCATTCTGTCCCCATACAGCTCTGCAGTTTTTTTTCCTTTTCAGTACAGTATTCAATAAATTACATGAGACAGTCAACACTCAAAACCACTCCATCTTCCCCAGTCTGCCTTCCTCCCTCTCCATCACATTATCTATCCCAGAGCTGCAAGGTCATGACTGAGTTAGAGGAACGATCAGGGACAATCGATACCTGCTTCCTTCCCGGTAAGTGTGGGATGATGATGAGCAAATGCTCAGAGGACCCCATGTGAGTCAGTACCCTACATTTATAAAAGAAACAGCACCTTTATAAAAGAAACAGCTACCTCGCTTGCTCTACCCACCTGTCCTTGACCTCTGTAAGGCTTAAAAATGGAATTATTTGCAGAGTTCAATGTTTATTTCCTGATCATTTCTCCAAAGACTGTTCTGGTGGTTGAAGATTTTGAAATCAATGAATGGGTGAGCTAGGAGAGTGACCTGCAGCTGAGGACCATCTTACCTGGACTCCAAGAAGTTAAAAGTCATCATCTTTGGCCAACCACAGGTCATGGTCTTTATTATGAGTGAAGCTCTTTTCAGCTGGAGTACTGGATGGGTTGCTGGCATGAAGAAAGGTGCTAGAGCATGCACCCCCCCCCCATACATATACACTCACACACACTCAAATATTCAAATAAACACTGGGCTCTTTCAACTCCACTCCACTGAGGTTTGAATGAGTGGATAGAAGCCAATTTTAAAAGCCTTTAACCACCTTTGGGAACTCAAGTACTTGTTCTCAGTATACCAATGGCATGTTCTCTCTGGGACAAAAATGTTCCATTCCCAGACAAATAAAACAAATACAGGGACACCTAAATTCTGAATAGAAATCCCAGAAAATTCTGTAGAAGAAAAGGAAGCCAAACTGCTTTGCTTCCTGCTTCCCCCACCATGCAGCAGACATTCAATCACAAACCTTTAATCATTGCTTTTCCTCAGCTTCAAATGTCCTTTCTATGTCCCCACTGCCTGTCTAAATGGGCATTCTTGCCCATCTAAATTGTACCCATATTTCTAGGTCCATCTCAAGTACTATTTTGGTGAGGAAGTCTCTGACTCCCCCCCTCCCACCCCCAGCAGAGCCAAGCTTTCTATCCCTTATATTCCCATAGCACTTTCTTTTAGTCCTTGCTATGACATTCAACTCACTGTTCCATGACTTAGTACCTTGTGGACATGGCTCTGTCTCCTTCTAGATGTAAAAGTCAGTAGTGTGTCCAGCTGGTATATGCCATTTCAGCACCCAGTACAGGGCTTGGCATGCAACTGGCACTCAAAAAAAAAAAAATGTGGCCATTGCCTAGTTCATTTTTTTGTCTTTGTGGTAGACGGAAGTCATAGCTTTTGCTCCCTCCAGCCATGTTCTTACAAGCCCTCAGGTTCAGATGGGGACCAGTTGATTCTTTTCACAGTGTTCTTTCATGAAGCCCCTTCCATTTTTCTAGTGTCCATCACAGCAGAAGCACACACTTCAACATACTTTCCTAAAAACCCCAAGCTACCAACACAGTATTTTACTGTCAGAATTGAAATGGCAAGTTCCTTTGATAAAGAGAATCTCTCAATAAGAGTCTAATATCAACACTATATATGGATACACTGCCAAGCTACTACTATTTGTTCTTTCTGGGTGTTCACTTGCATGTTTATTTTGTTTTGGGGACTTGGAGGGGCTTGCAGTTCAATTTTTGTAAAAGATTTTATTTATTTATTTGAGAGAGAAAACACGAGCAGGGAGAAAAAAAATGAACAGAATCATTCTGAGTTCAGGGCAAGGGCAAAGGGAGAGAGAGAAGTAGGCTCTCCACTGAGCAGAGAGCCCAATGTAGGACTCAATCCCAGGACCCTGAGATCATGACCTGAGCCGAAGGCAGACACTTAACTCAACTGAGCCATCCAGGCGCCCTGCAGTTCAATTTTTATTAGCCCAATTGCTATTCAATATCTATCAATAATTTTTCTTCCTAAAGGGCAAAGAAAGACTAATTTGCCTACTTTATATATTTATGTTTTAAAGCAAACCCTATACCCAAGATGGGGCTTGAACTTAGGAACCAGAGATCAAAAGTCACATACTCTACTGACTGAGCCAGCCACGGGTGGGTCCCTAATTTGACTGCTTTAAAACAAAAGCATTATTCTGTTTTCTAAAACAGTTAACTTCTCAAGACTGCTCAGGATTGAGGAAATCAGGAAGCTTTTGTTTTTGTGGCAAAGGTATGAATGCTTAGTAATTGCACTGTGTTTTGTCACAGAAAGCAGGATAAAGGACGCTAGGGCTGTAGATGGTCACACTTACCCTTAAATCTCAGACAATATACGGAAATTTCCAACAAAATTACAAAAAGATTTACAGTTTGAGAGGTTATTTAAACAGACATGTTTGTATAATGATTATTTTTTGTATTAAAATAACCACAGCAGTAGATGCCCACGTTGCTGGGTTTTTCTTGTTGTTGCTGTTTTACCCCAAGCTAGATCGCCAAAGAGAACAGAAGCACCTCTGTCAAAACTAGCGGTTGGGTGGATACACTGATATTTGATCCCCATTCTCTAAGCATCCTCAAGAAAGGATTAAACTGCTGTGACCAGAACAGAATTGTCCTAAGAAACGTGTCACTCTTCAGAGATGGTTCCCTAGATTGCCTGGGGGTTACAGAAGAATTCATAATACTCATTCACTGTGCAGAGCACTGCTTAGAATAAATGGAACTTGGTTAAGGTGTGTCCTATGGGAAGTCTTACTCCCCACCTTGTCCTCTCCATATCATGAGAAAGAGAGAACCCCACACCAGAAATTCTGAGGATCCCCTTAGAACAGACTCTCTGTACTCTCTTCACTTTAGGACAGATTTTACTTGAGTCTTCCGTTCCCTTTCCCACCCCACCCCTCCTGTTGAAATTTGGTTTCCAGGAACACCCCCCCTTTCCCCCCGCCCCTGCACATTTCTACAGCATCTCTTAGTTTTCTATCTAAGCCTACAAAAACTCTGGCGGAGCCATCCCTCTACTGATTGGTCCTAAGCCGCTATCAAAGGGACATCCGGATTCGCGAAGAGTGAGGGCTGGGGGTGGGGGGGCGCTGCAGAGACGCCTCCACTCCCAGGCCTGTCTACTCAGAACTTGTCAAGTTGCTCCAGGGCACAGCTCACCTGCAGCGCGCAGTGTTTCCAGGCGCCCCCTCCGCTCTCCGGGGAACCCGGACGTCCCGGCTGCCAGCGAGCGCCTGGCGCACTCACTTCCTACTCGGTCACCAAGGAGCACGTCAGCTCCCCTTTTCCTTTAGAGGCGGTGGCCCGAAGAGGTCTCTCTTCAGTCCCTCTCATCACACTGCATCCGCTTCCTCCCGCAGTGAGGCCACTCCCCAGCGAATGGCTAGCGCGTGTTGGAGACAAGTATTTTGCCTCGGTGACATCTAAGCGCAGAGTCGCGGTCCGGCTTCCGCAGAGCCACTCGCTCTGTCCGGGATGATAAACGATACAATGCCCCCCTGGGAGGTGCCCCTCTCGCGGTGCCTTTCTTTGGAGGGCGGATCGGGGTGGTCACTACTTCCTTCCGACTCCGAAGAAGTTTCTTATTCGCGAACTAGGTCTCCTGCGCAGCCACGCAGCAAGTCAGAGGGCGCTGTGGTGGTCTCGCGTGCCAAGGCGCAAAGGATTTTGTAGGCGGCTCCCGCGGTTGGATGCGCTTTGAGGACCCCTTCAAGAGCTCCATAAAAGTGGCTGGAATAAATGCGCTCAATTGTCTGCGCACCTTTGGCTGAGCCCCACTTCCTCGTGCCCCAATTTCTCTACGTTCTTGATTCCTTTCCCGCTTCTGCGCGCCCCCCACCCCCGCCCTGGGTTAACAGCTTAAGGGAGGAAGAGGCGTAGGCGGGGAGAAGGGGACGCAGGCTGGTGGCTTAGTCCTGTGAGGGTGACCTCGGCCCGTTTGCCGGCGTCCTCTCTCCACCCGGTTTGGAAGCCTCCCCTCTCCGCAGACAGCCTCCCCTCCCCCGCCTTTTCACAGGCTGCTCCTTTACGCCTTTCCCTATCCTGGTCCCTCCTACCTCTGGATCCTGTGGGCCCCCAGCATCTCCTAATCCGCTCCCCTCTTTCCCCACTCGGGGAAGGCCACTTTGCAGCGACTGTGCCACCTGGGCCCGAGTCAGTAGGTGGAGCTGCTGGGCAGCAGGTCGTAGTGCCCCCCGCTGTAGACCACCACGCCGGGTGGGTAGTAGACCAGGTCAGGCTCCGCGGTCCGGTGGAGAGGTGCCAGGGCCTGCAGCCCCTGATCCTCGGGCTCTGGCTTGGTGGTGGCCGTGAAAGGGCGCATGCTGGTGAGGGAAGGCGACGCGCCGCGCCACAGTAGACTCTTGAGCGCTTTGCGGAATTGGCGGCGCACCAGGCAGTAGAGGATGGGGTTGAGACAGCTGTTGGAGTGAGCCAGGCACACGCTCACCGGGAACGCGTACACCTGGCACAGGAAATACTCTTGGCTGAAGGGCACCGCGTTGAACTTGATGAGGATGCTCCAGGTGGTGAGCGCCTGGTTGGGCAGCCAACACAGGAAGAAGGATAGGACCACGATGGTCACTGACTTGGTGACCTTGGACCGTCTCCGGGCGCTGGCTGCGGCCAGGCCGCCCCGGGCCGCTGAGGCTCCTCCTTCGGTCCCAGCCACGCGGCGGTCGGAGATGAAGCGCACCAGCAGAAGATAGCACAGGCTGACGATACACAACGGAAGCACGAAGCCTAGCAGTACCTTCTGCAAGTGGTAGAGGCCCAGCCAGAACTGTCTGTCTCCGCCCAGCAACTTGTCGGGGAAGCGCACCAGGCACAGCTCCTCGCCCATCACCTTGAAGGTCGTGGAGAAGATGGAGTTGGGCAACGAGGCCAGCGCGGCGGAGGCCCAGATCAATACGCACAGTGCTTTGGCTGAGAAGCAGCGGCTGTCCCCCAGGCTTTGGCCGCAGCAGTCGCCCCGGCCATGCCCGCGGGTCCGGTGGCTCTTAAGAGCCGAGGCCACCGAGCGGTAGCGCGCCACGCTCATGGAGGTGAGGAAGAAGACGCTGGCGTACATGTTCATGGACGTCACTATGGATACGATCTTACACATGGCCTTGCCGAAGGGCCATTTGAAGTCGAGAGCGTTTTCCACCGCCCAGAAGGGCAGGGTGAGTACGAATTGAAAGTCTGTCAGCGCCAGGTTGGTGACGAAGAGGTTGATGGAGGACTTGCGCCATCCGTGCTTACTCCTCATCAGGTAGAGCACCAGCAGGTTGCCGGTCAGCCCCAGCGCGCAAACCACCCAGTACACCACGCTGATGAGGATCCGCACCCGCGCCTCGGTGTCCGCACTTTGTGCCCCGCGGGTGCCTGGGGGATGCCCCGGCGCCGCGCCGTCCGGCAGCTCCAGCCCCAGCTCCCACCACAAGTCCTGGAGCTGCAGCGACGCGTTGCCGCTGGTGTTGGCCGCCTGTAGAAGGTACGGGATCAGACTGAAGAGTTCTGCGAGCTCGTCTCCGCCAGCCTCCTTATTCATGGTGACTGTGGTGGCGGCAGCGACCACCTGCAAGCGCAGGGGCTTCTAGGTCCTGTTCCGGGGTGTGTGTGTGGGAGAGTGGAGTCAAGACCGAAGCCAGTCCAACTCGCGGGGGGTTCTGTCCCGGCGAGGGCGCAGGGCATGCGTGGGAGCTTTCAAAGCCGCAGCTGCAGATAGTTCCCGGAAAGTAGGTGCCAAACGCTTTCCCCGCGCGGGGTGCCCAGCCTCGGACGCCGGAGTTGCGCTTGGCGTCTGTTCTGGAGGGGAGTTCTAGCGCAGCTTCTGAGGCGAACGGTGCGCGCGCGCCCAAGGGTTCTCTGGCCAAGGTCGGAGTCTCCCGGTCCTTGCCGTACGATTCAGACGTCCCCCCACTGCCTTTGTTGGGCACTAGCCTATACCCACCCTGCCGCTCAGGAGCGCTACGGGGGGCTCGCTCCTTCTCTTTCAAATACCTTTGTCGGTTCCCTCCGCTGCTGCTTGGACGAGGTTTCTGTCCTTTGAGAGAAAAAGATAGGAGAATTCCGTCTACCTCGCTCTGACCCTCTGGAGGTCTTTCGACGTCTACCCAGCTGCCTCGCGCCTTCACCTCTCCGCTGTTGTCAGCTCCCAGGAGTCGCCAGCTGCGGCCACCCGAGTTATAGTTGTACCCGCAAAGCCTAGGCTGCGGGCTCCCAGGGAGCATGCGTAACCCCCGCGCGGGGGAGAGGGGGCGCTTTCCGAGGTGCTGAACTTCCTCCTCCGGGAGGAGGAAGCTGTGGGTAGGGGGCAGAGCCCACTAGCTGATTCCCCTTTTCCACTTCAAAGTTTCAGGACATGGTTGTAACCCTTTATTATCCTCTGTTGCTGGAGAAAGAGTCGGCTTTGATTTGCGATCCCTTTTTCTTTCTTATTCCCAAACATAACTACAGGTATTAGAAATTTTTTTCTTTCTTCCTTACTCCCACTTTATCTTTGAAATGATCCCATGTGATGAAAGATGGTTCTAAAAATTCACGATCTCTTGCCCATTTTTGTTTTTAAAAGCAATGAGCAACCTCTTCATGCCCAGACCCTAAGTCAGATGATGGGCTTTAACCGGATAGACAAACACAAGCTACGCTTCTCCTTCTTTAATTATCTAACCACTTTACTTGGTGCCTGTGACTGTCAGGATTTTCAAAGCGTCCTCATATAGCAAAACTCTGGGTTCAAGTGTTGCCCTCTGCCTTTGGTATATTCTGAGAACTGAACCTAAGCCGAGAATATATCATTGGTGAGCTGACTTCACAGACACTAGATATCACCTGTCCAGCCCTCAGCCCAAAGCTCTTCCACAAATTGTTTACCCACATGCACTCTCTTTACCTTGATTTAGTTGGAATAGAGGATTCCATAAGGCTGTTTTTGGACCAGCAGCCGCTTCCTTTCACTACTATTATAATCAGAACTCTTTAACAGGTGTTTTTTAGACCAAAGGAAGTAAATGCTAAGGAATCTTCTAAGCTATTTTGGACAAGGGGAACCAGTGTAAACCATTTGAATTACTTCTCAAGTTGTAGTTTATTTAAATGCCAGTTCAACTGCTCTAGTGTAAATTGCACTTTTTACGGTGGACTTGAGAAATTTGAAATGTTTTCCTCACTGTCCCCAACGAAACTGAAACAAAAGTATCTTAAGCATGGCTGTTCTCTCTCCTGCGAAGCCCACAACTTTACTTACAGAAATCGAGAGGATATGACTTTCAAGAAGAGGAGATGGTAAAATACTTAGTTAAAAAAAGAAATGTGGTACCCAAAACATATGAAGGGAAACCGAAACAATCTGGATTCCAAAGCCGCAACCCAGTTCCAAGCACAGAACACTCTTCACTAGAGACTCTGGACTTCTCCACTTGCCTGCTAGAGGGCGTCAGGGCTTTAGTAAAGAACAAACCAAAACCAAACCACCTTTGAACTGTTCTAATCTGGAGAAGCTCAACCCTGCTCTGATTATTGCTCCCAAACCACAGGTTGCCTCTGTGGACACCTCTTATCTCTGTTTTAGTAGTCTCACCTTCAAGCTCACTTTTCACTTCGTGTTTTACAGTTCTTTCTCCATCAAATTTTTCTCTCTCCTTTCTTTAAAAAAAAAGTAAAAAAAAAAAATTTCAAGGTGCTGTTGAAAAACAAAGAAGACTAGGGCATACCCTGACAGCACTTTGCCTTGGTTTTCACATTTGTATATGGAAGGAATTATAGTTTTCAAATATTCTGAGGATAGGTACTAAGCAGATGACATCAGAGTCAGGTGGGCAGCTTGCTAAAAATATAAATTGCAATTCTCCCCCCAGTCCCACACTGGCCCAGAGATTCTGATTCTCAGTGGATTTGGAAAAGGGCCAAAGACTCTACATTTTAAAAGCATTCTTCCAGATGATATTAATTTTTTCCCAAGTTTGGGAACATCTGGACTTTTATTTCTTTTCTAACATTCCATGTAAAAAATATTAAGTCTCCCAAAGTAATTAATGTCCAGTGATGGTTTATCACACACTAGGATTGGAAGCAAAGGAAAAGAAGGAGGTCTTGGCAAGTTTCCCTAAAATCGCATTTGGGCCCAACAATGACATTTTCTTCACTGTGGGACTGGGATGGCCATGTGCTCTTGAGGTACGCCAGGCCTTGAATACTAGCCCACACAACTCAGATTGAGCCCTCAGGAGAGGCTGTTCCCAAGGGCTACTCTCCGAGAATGCTGCCAGATGCTTCTGAGCCTAGAATGTTCTTCATTTCCAAATCTGCTCTCTGCAAATGAACCAGAGATCATGTTCAGGAATTTATAGTATCACTTAACTAAGCCTTTGTTATGGAAGCAAAAATCCCCTTTCAAATATGAAATGAATTTTTCCAATATGAACTAAAGATATTTTGGACCATTTATCTTAAAAGCATGGGCCATGCTTTTCTCAAACATCATCTAAAAAATTCAAGGAGAGAAACATATCAGTTGTGGTCAAATATCACTTAGGTATAAAAGATCATATCCAAATAATGTAGTATATAACCAACAGGTAAGTAAAGGCCAGGGTGTGAGTTTGGGGGAGCCTGTTATCATATGGATTGTTTGTTCTGGGTAGACTGTAGCAAGACAGAACTTGAGCTGGATCTAAATGAGGAGACAGGACATTACAGGATTCAGGTTAGAGAGGAGATATACAATCTTGATTCTGGGATTCTACAAAGCCAGGTGGGTTTTCAGAAAAAAGAATCTATTCTTTTAAGATTCTTTTGGAATATGTGCAGATACCCTTCGCTGTGCATTACTTCTTTTCAGTCTGCAGATATCACAGATTTTTATTTTACCATAATTATGAATTGAGTTCCTAATAGGCACAAAGCAATGTGCTAGGTGTTTGGATATATAGCAACAAAAACAACAATGGCACAATATGAATGATAATAATAGAAACAATGATAACCACTTATATTTCACATTTATTTGGACACTATTATTTTCCTAGAGTTGCTGTAACAAATTACAACAAAACAGGTGGTTTGAAACAACAGAAATTTATTATCTCAAAATCCTAGAGATTAGAAGTCAGAAATCAAGGTGTTGGCAGAGTGGGTTCCTTGGAGACTCTGAGGGAAAAAACATCCCATGCCTCTCTCCCAACTTCTGGTGGGTCTATGTTGATTTCTTGGTTTGTAAGTGCATCACTGTCATCTCTGTCTTTGTCTTCAGATGGCATTCTTCTTTCTGTGTATATCTTTGTATCTCTGTTTTCTCTCTATAAGGACACTAGTCATTGAATTAGGGTCCACTTTAATCCGTAGGACCTCATCCTAACTAATTACATCTGCAAAGAATGTACATTTACATTTCCAAACAAGGTCACACTCACAGGTACCAGGGACTAAGACTTGAACATATCTTTTTAGGAGATAAAATTTTACCAACTACAGGCAACAACCATGTGCACTGTGCAAAGGATTTTATCTGAATTTTCTCACCTAATACTGAAAACCAGTGAGGTTGATACTACTATCATCCCAGATCTGATTTTCAGCCTTTAATGCCCAGAACTCCAAAGCTGCATATCCAACTGCTACTTGGCACTTCTACATGGTTGCTAATTCCCTTCAGATTACTCAATCTTAGTCTAAGGCATTACTGTTCATATAACTGTTTGAACCAAAACCCCAAGAGTAGTTCTTTATCTCTCATTTTTCCTTACACCAATTTAATTCAATCTAGAAGGTCTTGTTAGCATGTTCTCAAGAGCAAAAACAAAAACAAACCCCCCAAATTCCTGAATCTATCTACTTCTATTTTTCCATTTCTCCCTGTGTTAGTTATCTCTTGCCGAATACTAATTTATGTTAAAACTTTACGGCTTAAAACAACAAATATCATCTCACCGTTTGTGTAGGTCAGGAATCCAGGTGCAGCATAGGGTCATTGGCTCAAGGTCTATCATAGGATTGCAGGCAAGCTATCAGCTGGGGCTGTGGGTTTATTTAATAGATTTAGTGGTAGGGAGGGGGATTCATTCAGAAGGGTGTTGGCAGACCTTGATCTTTCACTCTGTGGGATTCTCCACAGGGCTGCTTCACAATATGGCATCTGGTTTCCAGCAGGGTGAGTGATGAGAGTGAGAGAGAGAGAGAGAGAGAGAGAGGAATTGGCATGAAAGCTATAGTGTTTTTATGATCTAGTAAAAGTGATACTCCCACCACCTCTTCCCTGTTCTATTTTTTGGAGGCCAATCAATAAGTCTAGGGGCACCTGGATGGCACAACCAGTTAAGCATCTGCCTTCAGCTCAGGTCATGATCCCAGAGTCCTGGGATCAAGCCCAGTGTCAGGCTCCCTGCTGAGTGGGGAGCCTGCTTCTCTCTTTCCCAATCCCCCCACTTGTGCTCTCTCTCTCTCTCTCTGTCAAATAAGTAAATAAAATCTTAAAAAAATAAGTCCAGTCCACACTCAAGGAGGGGGGAATTATATAGGCATATGATTACTAGGAGGCAGACATCATTGGGATCATCTTGAAACCTGACATAGGGCAGGTTGTCACAATACCCAGCAGGAAACAGGAGTTGAAGTCCTACAGCTCTGCAGTGCTGGAACAATAAAGACTGAAATTCAAGCTTAGTAAAGTGGAGGGGAGTAAGTAAACAGTCTAGGCTTTCAGGCCAAACCCCAAAAGAGGAACATCCTAAAGGTAAGTTCTACACTCTATTCTTAACATCCTGAAAATACACACTTTCTTCAAATACACATAAAACATTCACCAAGATAGGCCACTTGCTGGGCC